TGGGGGTCCCGGTGGGGTGGGGGGGGGTGGGGGCCAGGCACCTGCTCTGCTCCACCCCCACCCAAAAATCCACCGCACCCCCTCCCTTATTTCCTGCCGGCTCGGGTTCGGTTTCACCTCTCTTCGAGCTGGGGAAGTCCCGAGGGGTGGAAAAACACCCAAACCCACCCCAAAAAATGGGGAGGGGTCCCGGGTGGTACACCCAGAACGGTTTTGGGGTAAAACCCGACCGATTCGGGGCTGGAAAACATCAAAACCTGACTTTCAACCGAGTGGATTTTGGGGTGGAAAAAAAAAAAAGGGGCGAAACTCGGGGGGCCTGCGGGTGGAAAAAGCCCCCAAAATTTGGAGGTGCCGGGGGGGAGCTTTTAAAAGGGGGGGGAGATTTAAAAACCTCAGCAGATTTTAGGGATTTGGGGGTACCCAAGAGATTTGGGGCCATTTGGAGGAGGTGTTCAAGTTGCTTTTTCCGCCAGCGTCATTTTGGGGCATTTCGGGCGTTTCGGTGGCGTTTGTGGGGGATGGGACGTGGCGGGGGGACAAACTCCTGCATTTTTTGGGACCCCAAGCGCTTCAAGACATCATTTTTGGGGGGATTTCTGCCTGGCTGCTTTAGGGGTATCCCTGCCCAGCAGTTTTGGGGTGTTTTATTGAATTTGAGGGCGTTTCTCCTCGTTTTGGCGCAGCTCAGCCTGCTCGATTTGCGGCGTTTCTTCCTGGCCATTTTTGGGTGAATCTCTGCTTTTTAGGGGTTTTTTTGCCTGGCTGGTTTGGGGTGTTTCTCCTCATTTTGGGGACTCTCTGTTCAGACGTTTTGGGGTTTCTCTGCCTGACAAATCTGGGTTGTTTTGGGGCATCTCTCCACATTTTGAATTTCCTCTTTATGGCCATTTTTAGGGTGTTTCTGCCTGGCTGTTTTGGGTCGTTTTGTCTCGTTTTAGGGTGTCCTTGACCATTTTTGGGTGTTTTGTCTCGTTTTGGGATGGCTCTGGCCATTTTGGGCTGTCTGTGCCATTATTTTGGGACATTCCTCCTCGTTTTGGGACCTCGTTTTAGGGTGTCCTTGACCATTTTTGGGTGTTTTGTCTCGTTTTGGGATGGCTCTGGCCATTTTGGGCTGTCTGTGTTATTTTGGGACTTTCCTCCTCGTTTTGGGACGTCTCTGTCTGGGCATTTGGGGCGTTTTTGCTCTCTTGTTTTGGGGCATTTGTTAGCATTTTAGGGCCGGTTTGGGGGGTCTGTGCCTCATCATTTGGGGCCATTTCTCTGCATTTTGGGGGTGTCTCTGCCCAGCTGAGCGTGGCACCATTTTGGGGCATTTCTGTGGGTTTTAAGGAATTTCTCCCTGCTTGTTTTGGGGTGTCTCTGCCCAGCTCTTTCGAGGCATTTCCCAATATCTCTGCCCAATTTGGGGTGTTTCTATCTGGCTTTTTTAGGGTAATTTCCCTACTTTTTGGGGTGTCTTGCCGTGATGGCTTCGGGCTGTCTCTACCCTCCCAGTTTGTGCCATTTCTCCACCTTCATCCCACACATTTCAGCGCATTTCTCTGCCCTTTTGGGGCATTTCTCTGCCTTTTGGGGTGTCTGTTTGGGTCTGGGGGGGCCCATCCCGACCCCCCGCCCCCGCCGTGACTCAGGGCTGTGGTTTCCCGTCTATAAATCGGAGGTGGAAGCGCCCGGTGTGGCCCAGAGCCATGGCGGGCACCCGGGACCCGTGAGCGGGGGCACTGGGAGCCAGGTGCCGCCACTGGGATGGACTGGGAGGGACTGGGATGGACTGGGAGGGACTGGAAGCACACCGGGGTGGACTGGGAGCCACTGGGGTGGACTGGGAGGGACTGGGAGCACGCTGGGAGCAGGCTGGGAGGGACTGGGAGCACGCTGGGAGCAGGCTGGGAGGGACTGGGAGCACGCTGGGAGCAGGCTGGGAGGGACTGGGAGCACACTGGGATGGACTGGGAGCCACTGGGATGGACTGGGAGCCACTGGGATGGACTGGGAGCCACTGGGATGGACTGGGGGGGACTGGGAGCCACTGGGATGGACTGGGAGGGATGGGAGCACACCGGGGTTGACTGGGAGCATGCTGGGAGGGATTGGGAGGGACTGGGAGGGATTGGGAGGCACTGGGAGCACTCTGGGAGGGATTGGGAGGCACTGGGGGGCACTGGGAGGGACTGGGAGCACGCTGGGAGGCACTGGGAGCAAACTGGGAGGGACTGGGAGGAATTGGGAGGCACTGGGAGCACAGTGGGAGGGAATGGGAGGGATTGGGAGGCACTGGGAGCACACTGGGAGCACGCTGGGAGGGACTGGGGGCACTGGGAGCAAACTGGGAGGGACTGGGAGCATGCTATGAGGGACTGGGCAGCACTGGGAGGGACTGGGAGCACACTGGGTGTACTGGGAGCACGCTGGGAGGCACTGGGAGCATGCTGGAGGGCACTGGCGTGATGCTGAGTGGGACTGGGGGGCCCAGGATTGATACTGGGTGAGACTGGGAGGGACTGGGATGGACTGGGAATACACTGGGAGGGACTGGGAGGGCTCTGGAGGGGACTGGGAGGGACTGGGATGGACTGGGGAGTGCTGGGAGGGGCTGGAGGAGCACGGGGATGGGAAAATGGAGGGACTGAGAGGGACTGGGATTGGAGTGGCTGGCACTGGAGGACGGGCTGAGGTTTACTGGGGAAACTGGGAAGGGGATTGGGAGGCACTGGGAGCACACTGGGAGCACGCTGGGAGGGACTGGGGGCACTGGGAGCAAACTGGGAGGGACTGGGAGCATGCTATGAGGGACTGGGCAGCACTGGGAGGGACTGGGAGCACACTGGGTGTACTGGGAGCACGCTGGGAGGCACTGGGAGCATGCTGGAGGGCACTGGCGTGATGCTGAGTGGGACTGGGGGGCCCAGGATTGATACTGGGTGAGACTGGGAGGGACTGGGATGGACTGGGAATACACTGGGAGGGACTGGGAGGGCTCTGGAGGGGACTGGGAGGGACTGGGATGGACTGGGGAGTGCTGGGAGGGGCTGGAGGGAGGGACTGGGAGGGACTGGGAGGGACTGGGAGGGACTGGGATTGGAGTGGGTGGCACTGGAGGACGGGCTGAGGTTTACTGGGGAAACTGGGAAGGAGTGGGATGGACTGGGAATGCACTGGGATGGACTGGGAAAGACTGGGAGGGACTGGGGGGGACTGGGATGGACTGGGGATACTGGAAAGAACTGGGGGAAACTGGAAATGACTGGGAAGACTTGGGATGACAATGGGAGGGACTGGGATGGATTGGGAGGGACTGGGGGGGACCGGGGCTTACTGGGGATACTGGAAATGACTTGATGCTTACTGGGAGAGACTGGGAAGGCAATGGGATAGACTGGGAGGGACTGGGAAGGACTGGGGGGGACTGGGGATACTGGAAATGACTCGGTGCTTACTGGGAGAGACTGGGAAGACAATGGGATAGACTGGGAGGGACTGGGAAGGACTGGGGGGGACTGGGGATACTGGAAATGACTCGGTGCTTACTGGGAGGGTTTGGGATGACAATGGGAGGGACTGGGATGTACTGGGAGCTCAGCAGGGTGATGGTGGCTGGGATGAGCAGTGCCACTGGAAGATGGGAGCGGGCTCACCCCATACTGGGAGCACTGGGATGTACTGGGGGGGGTAACTGGGCCGCTGTCCCCCCCCCCGCGGGTTCCGGCGGTGACGCAGGACCTGCAGGGGACACGTGTCCAGGCCTGGCACACGCGGCTGTCACCCGGGGGGGTTTGGGGGGGACCCTCGGTGTGTCTTTGGGGGGGGTCTCACCCCTGCCCCCCCCCAGGCAGCGCCGCCCCCCCCGCAGCCCCCAGGAGCGGCCCACGGTGCTGACCCGCGCTGAGGGGGGCGTCCCTCGGAGCGCCCAGGTGCGGGACGGAGGAACACAAATTTGGGGAGGGGGGGGGTCTGACTCAGGATGGGGGGGTCACCTTCTCCCCCTCCCCCTCCCCCCCCCAAACCCACAGGTGCCGCCCGAGGGGGGGTCGTGCCCCCCCCTGCTGCAGGTGCAGCACCCCGGGGTGTTGGTGATGCGAACCCGGCTGCCCCCGGCGCACGGTGAGACCCCTCCCCACCTTTCACACCTTCCCCTCCCCCCGGGGGGGGGCCTCCCTCTTGAGAATCCCCCCCCCCAAAATTCCTCCGCCGTGAGCCGGGGGAGGTGGCTCAGTGCCTGCGGCAGCTGGAGAGGATCCAGGAGCTGGAGCAGCAGGTGAGGGGACCCCCAAAACCCCCCCTGAGACCCCCAAATCCCTCCCCAAAAAAAACCTCCTCCCTCCAAACCTGTGCCACTCCCATCCCCGCCAGATCCAGGACCCCCCCGAACCTGTGTGCCCCCAAATCATCACCTGACCAGCCCCGTGCCCCCCCCGTGTCCCCCCCAGCCCGTGTGTGACCCCCAAACCTGTCCCCCCCCAGCTGGCCCGCGAGCGGCACCGCCTGGGGCTGTTGCAGGCTCAGCTCCTCCGGAGGGGCCCCCCCAGCACGGTAAGGGGGGGAACGCACCCCAAAACATGGTGCGGGGAGGGGAGGGTTGGGACCCCCCCATGGCGGTGCCACCCCCTCACCTGTGTGCCCCTCCCCCCCCAGGTTCTCCCCGGGAAGGGCCCGGCCGGGCTCCCCCCGATTTGGGGTCCCGCAGCCCCCCCCGAGGCAGAGGGGGACCCCGAGATGCTGCTGCCCCCCCCGGGGCACCCCTGGGAGCGTGGGGGGCTCTGCCCAGGTGAGCGCTGGGTTTGGGGGGTGGGGGTGACCCCCTAAATAACCGGGGGGGGGGGCTGGGGCTGGCTGACCCCCCCCCCCCCCCCCCCAAGT